AGCATCAGCTGCGGAGGAGATCTGGGAACAAACACACACACACATCTGATCAGCACAGGCTGCTCATCACACACACCATCAGTTTGACATCCGTACGCTCTCACCTTATCTGGTGGATCTTCAGCGTTGAGCCTTTGTAGCTCATGGCCACCGAGCCGAACATCATTTCTCCGAGCATGTTAGCGTCTGATGAGCACCGTGAGGAGCCCTGACACAAAGAAAGAAGGAGCAAAGCACACAGGATTGAATCTACAGGAGCAGCACACAGGGGTGTGTTATATATATCTTCTACAATAATACTGTAATTGTTGTTTTAACGATGTGAGAGCTGCTTTTGTTGAGCGTGTCACTCAGTTTGCTCAAACCAAACAAAAGCACGCCTTGAGAGCATGCTTTCATTGCCTGATAGACCAGTAGAATGCAGTTAGAATGACCTGAATTTCAAGATATGAGGGTAAAAAAAGCTCTGTAGGAGTTATCTTATATTTCTATATGATATAGTTTAGCAATACCACAGTTGTTTTTTCCCCGAATATTATCATTATCACATATGGTATTGATTTTATGCAGCAGTTCAATAAACATCAAGTTAATATTAAGTGATTTGTATTTTAGACACACTATTGTCAGTCTGTTTTCACTAATGAAAACCGCTGAGTGTCTCTGAGCAACACAGCGATTCGTTACTGAATGTATCCACGTTTTTGAATGAATCAGTGATTCAATGATCCATTTATAACGAGAGTCACTCGCTTAGTCCCCAAATGAAGCAGCAATTTAAATGAATAGGTTGAATTAGGGATGCGCAACATGGCAAAAAAAATTTGGTTTTTTTTTCAGAATGCTTGACTGTTTCTCGATTTTTATTTATTTATTTTTTAACTAGTCAATTTGTTCATTTCTCTTAACTGTTATCATTATCATGTTGTCAATGTGTCTAATTCTAACTTTTGGTATTATGTCTATTCAAAATTGTGATTTCTCAATTTATAAAAAACTAAATCGTTGCAAAACATTAAATTCAAATTAATCGATAAAATCAGAAAAATCTCTCAGTCCTACGTTGAATAAATGACTCAATGACTCACTCATTAAAACAGTGAACTGCCGCCACCTACTAACAGTTTTAGTTTCATATTTAATATATTTTAATATAAAAAAAATTTAAAACACTAATCTCAAAGCATTTTTTGCTGTGTAAATAGATCTAAATGCGTCTGTAGAGCAAAAATGGATTTTGTTGATACTGATTTTATTTGATTGGTCAACTCTCATTATTCGAATGGAATTTATTGGTTAAAATATAAGAATCTGGCATACAAGATGATGCATACATCTAATAACGTTAGGGGAAAAAATGCATTCAATTAAAGGTGGCAAATGTCGGCCCTTAACGAAACACTGACCACTGCAAAGAACATGAAGAGAGAGAGTGAAGGCTTGTGACGGGACTCACCTGGAAGCGGTTTTGTTCTTTGGGCTCGGAGGCGCAGGACGAGCTGCTGTCCAGAGAACTGGAGCTGCCGCCTGTAGGCCTCAGCTGACAACACTTCCCAAACATCTTCGCCTGTGCCTCTCCACACACCCTCTGCAAACAACACACGGACAAACTCAATAACCCAGCGAGACGCTCATGAGAGCAGTCACTAAACCCGAGAAACACACTGGTTCATCAAGACCCACGTTCTGCAAAAAAGACACTTGAGGTATATGTTTGTCTGGAGCGTGAATGCAGAAGAATTCTTAAACAGTTAATGGTGAATCAATTGCCACTGATCATTTTTTTAAAAGGAGTGAGGGGAGAGTCTGAACTGAATAATGAGACACTACCGCAAAGCAAATAAACATGCCAAAACAAACAGCGAGACCAGTTTAATATGAATCATGATCAGATGTCTCTTGCGTATGAGTCGGTTCTTTAAATGAATCATTCAAGACGACTCTCAAACGCAGCTGAATCAGTCCGATTATTAAAACAGACCTTTATTTTAGTTCAGAGATTTCTGTCCTTCCACTGAAAGTCCATGCAACCAAAACTAACGCTTTAATAAGTTCATAATCACTTATAACACGTTATCCACATAAATGGAGCCTTTTTATCCAAATCTTGTGAATAAAAGCCTAAATGAGATCTGTTCATCATATAAAGTGATCGTGCCTTGCATATAAATATTGATCAACACACGTCAAATATAAGCTGGCTTGACGCACGAGTGGTTTGCTCACAAGCGTCACTAAAGTACGTTCGAGCTTCTGTTTACCATATTTGATGTGTGTCAATGTCTATGTGAATGAAATCTGGTCATCATGTGTCTCTACAGTAGACTTGGATTAAACTGCTTGATTCATATGGATTGCTTTTACAATGTCTTTATGAACATTTTGAAGCTTTAAAAGTTTTGTTTGCATGGACTTAACGGAGGGACATGAATCTCTAAACAGCCAAGTGTATTCTTAAACACAGATGAGGAAAAAGCCCGAGTTAATGAGTGTTTTGGCTGTGCATGCCAGGCTCAGTGTCTCTAATGGCTCATGCTGAGTCTCGTCCTGCTCTGTGAAGAGCACAAAGGAACTCGAGCATGTGAGACTGTCATATGACTTCCTTAACAACTCGTGAGCAGGTCTGTTTGCTTACTCGCTCTCTTCTGCTCCTGGTCAATGACTCTCTGTCTCTCTCTCTTTAGTGAAACAATATCCTCTGCCAAAAGTGTCATGTGATTGCCGCCGCAGCTCGGCTCCAGATCAGCAATCTCCAGAGCCTCACCAGAACACATTAGACAGGCTGTTTATTATTCATCTGGCTGCACAGCAAACCAACAGCAGCTTGAACCTGCAGTATACTTCAATGAACATGCAGCGGATTTTAAAGAGCATGTTTTACTTTTATGAGGCTTTTTTTTTAGCTCTGCTCACAAACACTAGACTATGGAAATAACTTTTACTGAACCTTCTGATCATACTGCAAAAAAAGTGCTGCTCTTCCTCAGCATTTTTGTGTTGTTTTCAGTGCAAATGTCTCTAAAGATTCTTAAATCAAGATATATTTATATAAAGTCTTGTTTTCTGAGAAACTGGTTATGAGTTTATGATCAAAACAAGAACAAATATCTGCCAATGGGCTCAAAAAAATCTATTTAATTCAAAGGGAAAACAAGTTTTCATTCCCTACTGACAGACATTTGTTCTTGCTTTAAGCATAAACTCCATTTTGTTCAATTTCTCAGAAAACAAGATTTCATTTGCATCAAGTAAATGTGTGAGTTAATGCTGTTTTTTTACAGTGCATGCAACATTTAATGGCTTGGCTTTATGAATTTAAGACTTTCTGCTCTGATTTAAGACATTTTAAGGCCTGAATTTGTGGAAGACTGAATTAAGACTAAGATCCGCAGAAACCCTGTTTAGTGCACAAAACATTTTGAAACGGTCATCAATTTTGCAACATCAACACTCTTCATGAACTGAATTACTTTGAGGTTCATGTGTTCTTTTATCTCATCACATTCAATCCAGACTGTTTGTTCTGCCAAGAGGAAACACAGATCAGAATTCCCTTTACATTTCACATCAGTCAGATGACAACATCAGGTGTGGAAAAAGTTGGTTTTTGGGTGAACCGGCTTTTGCACTGCACCCGCAGCCTCATGACATCTAATGACAAACAACTAGCAGACGTGACAGAGAGCTCGACACGCCTTCAGTCATGTGAATGTGAAAGAATGCTTACACACTCAGAGTCAGCTGATGCTATTATTACTGGAGATGAGGCCTCTGGTTCTCACACCACTCACCGTGACCGGGGCATCTTCCATGCTTCTCTTTCTGGCATCCGAGTCGAAAAGGACGTTCCTGCCGCGCCGCTCACAGTCCTGGTAGACGATGAGACGGATCTGGCTGGGGTCCAGCTCCGGTGACGACCAGCTAACAGACACAGACAAGAACATGAGCACCACAAACACACTGACTCTTAACTAACAAGCTTCCTTCGGCGGCGATGGTTTGGGCCACTCAACCAACAATGCGAGTAAATCTTCACTGGGCGACTAAATGATGTCTATCGTTAGCCATTGGCTAATACATTTTTAGATTTTACTTACCGAGGCTTACTTTAATTTTACTTTTAAGTGTAAGTTTAGCACAGATATATTTTCACTCTGACTGAGTGCTTCAGAGTTTCACTCGGTGCTATTTTTCAGTTCATCTCAATGGATGCGCAGCGCACCTGTATTTGGCGCACCGTAAACTCTAGTGTGAAGGAGCACGACTCGCTGTCGCTGTGCTGATAGCACTGTTTCTCACACACACAAGCAAAGAGAGAGAGAGAGTGAGAGAGAGAGAGAGAGAGAGAGAGAGAAAGTCTTACATACTATGCAGAATTGACACGCCACATGTAAACCATATTCGTTTTGGAATTCTTCCGCTTTTAAGAACAAGCAGAAGATATGATTTCTCCGGTAGTGGGCGGAGCTAATGCACAAACGGCATTCTCATTGGCTGGCGCTCCCCTATTATCGTCCCTGTTTTGATTTCAGCAAATCAGTTCGAGTGAACGCAGACAGCGTGATTAATATTCATGAACCCAGCAGCATATCAATCCTTAGTGTGTTTTATATTGTTATTAGTAGTAGAAATCGTAGTTGTATTATTATTATCTTTTCAGTATTATTGTTTTCTTACAGAAACACTGAATGACCAACATCAGCCCCTTTCACACAGTAATACCAGTAATTATCGGAACGACTTTACCTGTTGTGTTTGTAAACATGGAGAGGTAAATGCGGTCAGTGTTTTTGTTGATGATTTCATTTTTGTGTCAACCGTTCACATTCATGCAGCTGATTCTGGCCCAGAGACATCGTATTAGACGACTTTAGACATTTTTTTGACTTGCGCAGAGTAAATGCGTTACCTGCATCAGAATGTTATGTTATGTTATTCATACCGGTAATCTTGTGCTGCGTTCACACTAGTGGCTGGCCGATATTTGTAAGATAAGTTTTTCCTGTTTGGCCGATGCGTTCGAGGCAGGACTTTTATTTTGACGGCGCTGAGAACGGCAGCGTCTGCAAAACGGATCGGCTCGAAAACGGAAAGTGAGACTGATCGGCCGATAACCGATCCGGGCCGATCATGAGGAAAATCGGCCGATTCCGATCCCTGGCCGATCAATCGGTGCATCTCTAATTATAACGATTGCTTTTATATTATTAGTAATATAAAAGCAAACATTATAATACTGTCTCGTTTGCCGTCAGCATTCAGCAAATATGCATTTAAATAATTTGAACAAATTTTTGAATGTCTATTAATGAACATTTAATTTCACAAACCTTGCAAACTTAGTCAAATCTAGTTGAGATCTTGTGAAGTGTGCATTTGTATCCTGCATGATCACGTATGCTCTGCGTGACGGTCGGTCTGTGCGAATTGAATGCGGACAGGAAGAGAGTTCAGCTTCACTGGAGATGCGTGATTGACAAAATTTAAACTCGTGATTTCAAATTATGCTGCGCTTTATCCATTTGCCCACTTTCATATTCATGTCATTTTCACTGTGTGCTGTATGTAAAATGACTGTTACCTTGGCTTTATTTGAAAAAATATGATTCTCAATGCACACAAACTTCCCAGATTACTTAGTGCCCTGTTGGTTACAATGTTGACGTTTTGTTAAATATTAATTTATTGGTGAAAAATACATTGTCATCTAAAGTATATGTATGTTTATTTTACACATTTATTTTTAAATCCATTTTCAAAAGATTTCAAATTTCTTAAATATTAAAATAAATAAAATTATATCGGCTTTATATCAGCCACCATGCTTCCCAAGATATCGGCATCGGCTGTCAAAAAAACAATATCGGTCGACCACTAGTTCACACAGAGCACATTACCGGTAATTTACTGGTAATGTTACAACTTCTCATACCGGTAAATTGCCAGAAGGAATTTACCTGTATTTTTTTAAAAGGTCCTGTTCACACATGATCTCTTAACATTAATTTACCAGTAAAGACACCACCAAGTTCAGTTAAAATGACAAATATGCATTCATACATGGTTACCAAGTTTTAATTCTAATAACTAAAGTTCTATTAGGGCTGCACAGTTAATCGAAAGCGATTGTCATGCGCATCTTGTCAGTAAAGCCGGTTCTGTGATTAGTAGTAAATCTCCATCACCTGCTTTCAGATGGAGCAGCATTTACTAGAGCCGTAGTTCACTGACAAGCTACGCAAACAGCTTTCATAATTGCAGAACGATTTCTTCGATTTCATAATCGCGCGATTAAATCGTCTGCGATTATGAACACGATTTTGCGTAGCTTGTCAGTGAACTACGGCTCTGTGTAGTAAATGCTGCTTCATCTGAAAGCACGTGAAAATACCACATTTAATGACATGTTTTTACTCCAAACTCACTTCATTCAACGTCAGTCGAGTGTTTGAAATAAATCCTTCTGTGAGATGATGTGGCTTCTAACATAGAATAAGGCACGCAACATATTTCATAATATTCTAAGCAGTGATAAAGTGAGTGAGTGACGTGACATGTGGCCAAGTATGGTGACCCATACTCGGAATTAGTGCTCTGCATTTACCGATCCAAAGTGCACACACACAGCAGTGAACACACACACACACCGTGAACACACACCCGGAGCAGTGGCTATAAAGGCTATGTCGATTAGCATTGCATTATTATATACTTTATTATAATAAAAATTATAATAAGACGAACTCAGATAAACCATATATTGTCGTAGTCGTGTGTTTATTAGTCACGCTGAATTAATGAAAGCAGTTAATTCTTCAGCAACCGCTATAGGGATTTCCTGGGTTTCTTCTGCGAGGCGTATTTGGAGTTTCAGCGCGAGAGCGCCCTCTGGCCTTCGGATTAAGATTTACTGCTGATCACAGAACCGTGCTTCCCTGAAAGATACACGACAATCGCAGCTTCTGCCTAATTGCGATTTATCGCCTTTGCGATTTAATTTCGATTAATCGTGCAGCCCTAAGTTCTATCATTAAATAATGCTTGACTGACTGAGAGTGTACTTTCCGATATTTAAAAAGCTGTGCCATTTTACAAAGTTAAGCTTAAGTTAAGATTAAATATATATATAAATAATATATCAGTCTGACCAGTAAACTAAAAAAAATTCTAGCCAATGGCGATTCTATTGCCAAGGTGTGTGTAGAAGGTTGCCGCTGCCACTCATCTAACCAGGAGCCTTGAGCGGATAGGGAGGGATTTTGAGCGGGATGAAGGCAGCGAGGGCAGGAATGGCATGGACACAATTTATTTCTGTGCTCTGCGTCAAGGCAGGTGAAGAAAGGCCCAAAGCGCGCAGCTGTTTACTCGTCACATTCCTGACGACTGGACTCATTCGCCATCCAGACACGGAGCACATCATCCGCTTTATCAGGAATCGAGACAAACAAGCTGTGCACAAAGACAACATGACGCACAACCACCCCCTTCAAAACAATCAAACTCAATCAACCATAATCCTCACAGCTGATCTGAAGAAAACCTCACTCTACTTTCAACCCAGTGCTAAGATGAAACGAGACAATGCCAATATCTTACAGACCAAGGCGGTCAATGGAAGATATACACAATATCACACATTTAAATAATACATCCACAGCATTGATGCAAAAAAACTTTTTATTTTACATTACTAAAATAATTGGAAATTTGAAAAAATAGGCTAATCAATTTGAAATTGATAAATCTGTTAAAATCAAATTGAAACTTTAGAAGGAGGCTTCAATGATATTGTTCTGTAATCCTATAGTGGTATGTTTTTCTCAAATAAATTATTAAAACCATATGAATTAAGTGAAAACTGCACTCAACACTGTGTCAGTAATTTAAATATTACCAGTAATACATTCTCAAAGACTGGTTACTTAGCTTGCAGTAATTATACACACTACTTAGTAGATGTACACAAAAAACATCATCCAACACTGATAAGTCTAGTAGATTAATGGTCAATTAACAGTCAATATTTAGCATTTTTTTAATTATCTGTATTGGTCGATAAGTAATGGAGGTGGGACTTTTATTTTGTCCAGAACAGGAGCATTCTCCGTCTTTATTCGTTAAAGTCTTTATTTAACGTTTCAGAATAAATGCTGTTCTTTTTAAAGGGGTCATATGATGTTGCTAAAAATAACATTATTTGGTGTATTTGGTGTAATGAAATGTGTTTATGTGGTTTAAGGTTCAAAAAACATATTTTCCACATACTGTACATTATTGTTTCTCCTCTATGCCCCGCCTTTCTGAAACGCGTCGATTTTTACAAAGCTCATCTGAAAAGCGAGGTGTGGTGTGATTGGCCAGCTATTCAGTGCATTGTGATTGCCTAAAATGGCTCGCAAACAGCGAGGATGAATACCTCAAGCGTGTGACGGAAATGTTACGCCCCAACTATACTGTGATGCCCTGTTCGGCCGGAGCGACGAGACAAAAACATTAAAACTCATTATAAACAAGGCATTTGTTGCATCCAGTGGGGACAAACATAATTATGGATTATAATGACTTATACGGTCTTTTTACGCGTTGCATCGTGCCGCGTAAAAATAAAACCATTTGTGATCGGAGAAATGACCAAGCGCTATTCTACACTGCTCAAAACTTGCGTTTGAATCGTCAGTTGCAGATAATCATTCGGCTGTCGATATGGTGCACAGGTTAAAAAAAAAAAAAAAAAAAAAGGAAAAATTGAAATCGCATCATATGACCCCTTTAACTTTTTATTCATCAAAGAATCCTGAAAAATGTATCGCAGATTCCAAAAAAAATTAAGCAGCACAACTGTTTTGAACATTGATAATAAACCAGCATATTAGAATGATTTCTGAAGGATCATGTGACACTGAAGACTGGAGTAATTGGATTGGATAAACTTTATTAATCACCAAGGGAAATGTATACGTCACTGCAGCACATACCACACAAATTATATAATAAATGAATAAGAAAAATCAAAACATTCACAACAATTTGTTTTTTAAGAAATTCCACAAGGTATTATAAGTATTGTAAACAATATACACTATAATAGACACTATAATGCAATCTATTGTCTTATGTCGCACTGATTAGCTATACAGTCTAATAGAAGTTGGTAAAAAATACTTCTTAAAACGCTCCCGATGACAGCAAGGCTGATTTAATCTTGGGCTAAATTAACTCATAAGGGCTTGGACTGCTTCATGAAGAAAGTGACAATCATGATTCTTCATAGAAACCAGTTTCTCAATCATTCTATCCTGCGCTGATGAAAACTCAGCTTTGCATTACAGAAATAAATTAGATTTATAAAATATTTTAAAATAGAAAACCATTATTTGAAATCGTAATAATATTTCAAAACATTACTGTTTTTTCTCTATATTTTTCTCTATTTTTCGATCCCAAACTTTTGAATGGCAGTGTATATATATTGACCACCCTACTTTCTAATATATCAGCATCAGCCAAAAAAACAAAAAACAACTACATTTAAAATTAGTAATTACTAACGCTAAAATAAAAATTTTTTTAAAAAGAATTTCCCCAACAGTAATGAGAGTTACAGTAGGCAACTGATATTTTTAGGGGGAGACAGGTAACATAGCGGGTGACAAGATCTAGACTATTATCTTCACGGTGATCCTGTATGCACTGCTCCAAAATGAGAACGAGTCCTTAAGCTGCTGACCGTAATCTGCTGGACGTTACATAAGACCTGATCATCATTACGGCTCGAACACAACCGACAGCAAAACCTCACTCACAAGGCAACACAAACGCCGCCACGCTGTTACTACAGCAGCCACACGCACCGACTGCAAAGCCACAGAGAAGCAGAAAGCAAGCGGTCATCAGGTACCTGGGCATCGGAGCATTTGCACCCGTGCGCGTTCCCATCCTCCCCAGCCCGCGGCTCGCTCTTCCTCAGCACAGAGCGCTGCTAAGAATAGCAATGAACTAAATTCACAAAACAACATGAGACTGTCAGGTGACCTCCATGTCGAGCTGGACAGCGCCGGACAAAGACATGAAGACGCGCCGCTGGACGCGGTGAAACTGAAGAAACTGTGATGTGGGCATAGAGAGGCTAGCCCCCTTCGGACTCCCTGTGAGCAGAGGTCAGCGTCTGAACGTGTTGGGAGCGAGCGGCCTTTACATAAAGAATCCATCCAGACCGTGACGCACTTCTTGTCCACTAGCTGGGGTCGTATTTGAATGCATGCGGTGGGAATGTTTCCAGGCCACATTCCTGTCAGCTCGCTCAAGCAGAGCCTACTGGAGTCCAGCGAGGACAATAATAGCTCAAGCTCTGTGAATGCGCACAGCTGCTGGTCAACAGCACATCAACTTACAGCATCCGTCACTAAACCAGCCTTACAACACACACACACTTCATTTTCTGCAGTGATCGAATCCATCGAAAGCCAGAAATGTTAGTCAAGTGTAAAATTAAGACTGACACCACGTTCAGCTCATAAGTAGGAATATAACGATTCACTCAACTCAAGATGTGATACGATTCACGACACTGATTTCACGATACAATTTTTAACAAAATGAGATTTAAGACAATTTATAAATGAAAACGTGTACTTTTATTATTTCTCAGACAAAATGCTGCACATTTCTTTGTGAAATTAAAATGTCAAATAACAAAACTAAATTGAAATTGTAAAACAAAATCACAAATCAAAAATAATACAAATCTCTTCATGTAAACAAACTAAGGCTTTGCCTGTGCTCTTTCCATTTATAATCAGAGGCAACCACTGGATTTTACAAAGCTGCTTTTTAATTTTTCTTTTTTTTTGCCGTTTTCATTACATCCCTACTCATAAGATGCAACTAACAATCATTTTTCACTTATAAATACTTTCAGTGACCGAATACCCAATAGTGGATTTTGCAGATGAAGTCATCTGTCCATCTGTCCGCACTGAAACGCATCACAACAACAGCAAAAAGATGATGTTTAAGACCAAATCCTTTGAAGTGAGATTTCACTGGGAGCACGATCATTCCAATGCAGCATTACAGGACAAGCGGCCATGTGCATCATTTGAAAAGCCCCTCATGCAGACCATCTACAACACGACCGCTAAATCTGACTGTGCAAGACCCAGCTTTAGTCCTGAACTCTCACAGTCCTATGAGTCCTGGCCGGCACAACATACAACACCACAGTCCACACTCACATGCTGTACAGTTCAAGAATGAGACATCAGTGAAGCACATCATCATGAATCACTCACTGAGTTATCGTCTCATCTCAAACTCTCTCTACTTGTCACGAGCACACAGAAACAGACGCTTGATGAAAGCAGCAATACTTCAGTCACAGGCAGCTGAGTGCACAAACATAAACCAAGAGCCCTATGATTTCAGCGATGCAGAAAACGCAGACAGAATCACGGAATTCAGTCATAAAAATGTAATTTACTGTATAGCACATAATTTGGCAAATGTTGGATGAATAGTAGGGCTGTTCACAATATGAACTATTGTCTGTGAATATTGAAGCACAGAAAGACTGCTGTAAATCTGAAGTCTGCCCTGCAAGTCTCAGTTTGCTCTGCTACACACACATACTGAAGCTTGTATGCGTCTCAATATATGCAGGGCAATAATATTGTTTAATAGATTATTGAACACTTAAAGGGGTCATATGATGTTGCTAAAAAGAACATTATTTGGTGTATTTGGTGTAATGAAATGTGTTTATGCGACGTGTTTATGAAACACGTCGATTTTTACAAAGCTCATCAGTCTGAAAAGCGAGGTGTGCTCTGATTGGCCAGCTATCCAGTGCGTTGTGATTGGCCGAATACCTCAAGCGTGTGACGGAAATGTTACTGTGATGCCGTCTCCCGGCCGGAGCGATGAGACAAAAACATTAAAAGCCATTATAAACGAGGCATTTGTTGCATCCAGTGAGGACATAATTACGGATTATAGTGACTTATACTGTCTTTTTACGTGTTGCATCGCGCCGCGTAAACATAAAACCATGTCTGCATTTGTGATCGGAGAAATGACAAACAACAAGCGCTATTCTACACTGCTCAAAACTCGCGTTTGAATCGTCAGTGGCAAATCCTTTAAATATGAAAACGCACTTACAGTCTGTGAGTCAGAACAGCCGGCACTGTAGTCTCCTCTCCCAGGATCAGGACACAGTCCTCCATAAAATGTGCTGCACACATCTGAATATTTGGGTTAAACTGTTCTGGAACAGTGTTGTAAATACAACTTAACCACTGATTTCTAGTCGTGTCCTCTTTTGGAAGACCAAACAAAGTAGTTTCGCTTTCACAACGAAACACACAGCGTCACACACGGCGGGCTAGAGTGAGCAGCGGCCGGTGGGCTTGAGAACGGCACAGCCGGCAGATTCGACGAAGGAGCGTCCGGCGGGCTAAGAACGAGCCGTTTTAGGTAGGCGTGGCTGACTCTTAACTTTTATACAAAATATATCTTTGGATTTGAGACTTCAGTCTTTGCAACTTTACAGATCTTCTTTATGCACCAAGAGCTTGTAACACTCCAAAGAGAAAGGAAAAGTTGAAATCGCATCATATGACCCCTTTAACATTTTAAGAATACAATTGACTAGACTTCCTTTTTGATTATAATAATTTAATTAAACCACTGAAATTAGATAAAAAAATAAAATAAAACAAATTCATAGGACCCTAGATAAACCGTAATCAATTAACTGATTTAAAAAAAAAACAACAACATTACTTTGCTGATTAATTGCTGCAGTTAGTACAGTTGCATGGGAAACACCATATTTGCTTCCAAAAGCGTGTCTGGTGTGTGTAGAGATGGCGGGAGGTCTCCGGGTCTGGCTGAAGGTAAGCACTGGCAGAGCACACAAAGCTTTCAGGCTCAATCAAGAACGATCTGTCCTGCCAAAGAACCAGAAATGTGAGCAGCCCTTTGGTTCTTCTGAGCGGGGTCACCCATGTAGCTGCCCTCTCTGCTATCTACGGGCTCTTTACACACGATGGGCCAACAAAACCACAGAGAGAACATCATTTCACCAAGTTTAATGTAATTAAATTAAATTAATGTTTCACATATTAACTGAATGAAGTGTTCATATTCATCTGGATGAAGATTCTGCCTGTAGCGACCTCAAATGAAAGCGGGGAGACAAACAAACACACACGAGGAGACAGTGGTGTGGAGAAGATATAATCCAGGACGAGAGGTCAGAAGGTCACTGCACACACTCAAATACTACGGTACGTTCAGCTGCTGTCCTGATCTTACGGCATTCAATGATAACACTGCTGTCTGTATGAACAGTCACTTGTCCTAACATAACTTTAAAGGGATAGTTCACCCAAAAATTAAAATGACCCATGATTTACTCACCCTCAAGCCATCCTAGGTGTATATGACTTTCTTCGTTAGGACGAATACAATCGGAGTTATAATTAAAAATGTCCTGGCTCTTCCAAGCTTTATACTGGCAGTGAATGGGTGTTAATATTCAATAGTCCAATAGAAGTCCAATAAACTGTGCCAATACATCATAAAAAGTGCTCCACACAGCTCCAGGGGTTAATAAAAGCCTCCTGAAGCGAATCGATGCATTTTGGTAAGAATAATATCCATATTTAAAACTTTATAAACCGTAATCTCTAGCTTCCGCTAACTGTTGTATGCGCGATTTTATTTGTAATGGAGAGGAACCTGTGGGGCATGTTTCTGTCAACCTAACGATGTCTATCATACCCTCCTTTACCTTGTTTTTTCGTGAATTTGTACTTAAAGTAGAAAGACAGAAAACTTGTGCTCCTCTTTGTCAAAGTAGACACCATTTCATGCTGTCCTGATTTACAATTGTGTTCATCAATTCTTCCATTTTAAATTGTTCACTTTTATTTCCATGTTAGTAAGCGTGTCTTATGATGTTGATAATTTCCCTGTCTCGTAATATAAAAGAATACCACTGTGGTTCTCAAACAGGGGTCCGGGACCCACTAGGGGCCACAAGATTACTTAAAATTATCGAAAAAAAGACAAAACAAGGTTTAAAATAAGCAAAAGAAGCTAAAAAATCAAGAAGTATGCTGAAATAATATTTCTTATTTTAATTCGATCCCTTAACAACTATCATTATTATTTCAATTAATTGAATTCAATCTATTTAATTTAATTAATTTTTATCTTGGACAACCTTGATATACTGCATGTGGGAATTGTAAAAGTGTGAATTGTAGATAGGGAAAGGTCATGGAAATCAATACAAAAAGTCATCAAAATTTTTATGATAAATATCATATTCTATAATATTTTATATTTTGATTGGGAGTAAAATACTACATTTAAAAAAATAAACAAACTGAAAATATTCTATAATATTTTATCAAGTAGAAATGGCTACTTGTGAGAAAAATACTAAATAAAAAAAATTAAACAAACTGAATATCATATTCTATATTTTATCAAGTAGAAATGGCTAGTTGAGTAAAAACTAGAGATGCACCGATCGATCGGCCAGGGATTGGAATCGGCCGATTTTCCTCATGATCGGTGATCGGTCGGTCAGTCTCACTTCTTTCTGATTTCGAGCCGACCCGTTACAAGCGGCACATGCAATAACGTCAGCCGCGCATTCTCGCACTCATCTCTCCGACGACCCCTTCTCTCTCACACACGTCTCACTCGCTCCGGTTAAATAGTGCTTGTATTGTGCATTATCAGGGGCGTAGCCATCATTTCTTTTTCTCTAATTTCTAGCTTTTAATTGGCGTAGAAATCGTATAACCAATAATAATGATTTGTTTATATACTACAAACACTTTGCCCGAAAAAGTGCGGGGGACGAATTTACGTGATATTAAAAGTGAGGGGGACACGTCCCCCGCGTAATCTACGCCCCTGCGCATTATTATAGTAATTCCCGCAGGTTTCATGCTTACACCAAAAGCGCACGCACCAGAACTGATCTATATTAGTGGAGCGCACAAGAAAATAACACTGGATGTGTTATTTTACATTTGATTACTTTCATTTCTGTAGTATTTCCTACCTGAATAAAAACTTACTTAACCTGAAAAACTTAGTTTCATAGCTCTCTTTCTTCTATTGCATTTATTTGTGCTGTTATTTGCCTTTTTTTTCTTATTTTATTACTGAATTTTACTTGTGTTTTTTTATGAAAATAAAACTTTGCATTGAAGAAAAGCAGATTTTTGTTTGTATATGCTGTCAATTACAGTTCTTAGAAAGAAAATCGGAATCGGCAAAAATCGGTATCGGCAGATCACACTAACGAAAAATCGGAATCGGCCAAGAAAATTGCAATCGGTGCATCTCTAGTAAAAACATTTAAAAAATAAATACAAACTACAAAAGTCAATATATTCATTGGTAATTAAAGTCTAAAACATGCAGAACATTGAGTTACTGTAATTATGGAATTTAATAATTTCATATTGCCATTTGTAGTTTCCAAGAATAATAAGTCTGAAAATAAGCAGCTTTGTCATTACAAGCAGAAGTATCAGAAATAACCAGTAGCCTTGGAGTCAAAAAAGGTTATGAACTGCTGGTTTATCGTCTTTCCTCGATGACTTCAGGATCATTTAAAGATGAAAAATAAGACAATGTCAGTGTGCAACAGAAATGAATCCCACGCCAAAGGCAGATTTCAGTGCTTTAGTCTGATCCTGCAACAGCAGCAGCACACACACAGTCCGATAGCAGGAATGTGATGCTTATTACGTGCATCTGCGTCCCCGTGTGACTTGCACGTTTCAGGCAGACGAACTCAATGCACGCCAGAGACTTAGCAGCAGCTTTTTTCATCGCCAACAGAAAATTCTGAGTACATTTAGAGAACGAAAGAAACATTCTAGGACTCTAGGCTAGTCAGATCCGGTGACATAAACCAACAAAGGGTCGTCAGGCAGCGTCGACTGAAGCTAACTAACGTTAGCATGAGGCTAAACATTCAGGCTACCGATGGAGATAACCGTACGTAGCCATAAACACACACATGACTCCAAGCTACATATATGTACATATCAACAGCACCTCAGCAGACTACTTCATATTGATTGAGGAGAATCTGTTATGTTACTGCTCTCCGGAAGCTGGAGAAGAAAAGCTCGACACGTACCTGAACACCGCGTCCTCTTTGCTGCATTTCGCGGGCGGTGAGAACGCGTTTCTTTTGTTGAAGAGTTTATGAAATAACGTGGGGGCCATAATGGACCCACAACTTTGACGGAAAAAAATCCTTGTTTGTGTTTAATTCTCGAGCCACACTCGACTCCCGCAGACGGACTCCATTTGTGGGCCAGTCATATGACTGCCGTTAGTCACACGAGCTGCTTGGCAACGCCACTGCTCTCTGATTGGTCGAGTATTCGCTGCGCTCCCTCCGCTTTCCTGATTGGCTGATATTTTGGTTCATAGACCACGTGGTCATAATGGCTGTGTTGATGTTTTGGGAGCTGTATTTCACGGGCATTTCGTTCTGTTTATGCTCGACGATACACAAAAACATTAAAAGAAAGATCAACTGCACAATAAAAATGTTCTTTATTCGTCTTTTAGTATTTATACATCTTTTACCTAAACATCTCATTTAAATAATTTAATTTGTAAAGCTCTCTTTCCATTTAAAACCTATATTTGGCATGTAAACATCTATTCCACAATCACTGCAAGGCATTGTTGCTTTCTCATTTTGATGACTCTGCATTCAAATCATCAGTTAAGTTCTTCTTGATCAGTATATTATTCAGCTCTTGTGTTTGTTTGAACGGTCTCACTCCAGTGCGCACGTATTCATCCATCTTGAGCTCTTAAAAACACTGCATGGCCATTAAACTCACATACAAATATTTGTATTATATTTAAGCACGTGTTGACTGCCCTCTGCTGGTCAGAGGTGATGATCCCGTAATCTGGGTTTCTTAACTTGTGAGAAAAGGGTATAGATCAGCTTGTTTGGACTGAAGTCCTCTCAGACAGAGGTTATCTAGAAAGAACACAAATGCACACAAAAGGAACATGAATTCCATTTAGATTTTTAAAATGTCAATACGGGGAAATGAGAAAAGAAAATTACCGGTTTGGCAGGAAACTTAAATGAGCGTGTTTGTTTCAGTCTCTGGAAAAAGGCTTCTCTCTCACGCTCATTTGCAAAGTCAAAAAACGTCACAGGCCATGAGGAAATGTCTCTGGGTTCCACCGACACACTTCCGCTTGCTTGAACCAGCTTTACTCCAGAGTCCTGGTGGTCTGTTTTACCACGTTTATGGCTCGATACATTTCGAATGCTCACAATATCGCTGAACGTCACTTTTCTGCATTTTATTGGTTTTTCCTTTTCTGCAAAACACTGAAAAGGAAGGGTTTTCTCATTATCCTGTTGATGTTCTGCTGTATGTACAGACACAGTGACCAGCCAGACTCTGTGATATCATCAGGAGCATTACTCATTTCTAGTAGAATGCAAGAGGGAAGCAATTAGTCACACAGACATGAATGTGACCATACATAGGCATAATATGAAAGACGTAATACAGTATTAATCACCTTTTTCACAACAGGGGAAAGAACTACAACCCTAGTATTCACAGGCGTTCTCTCATTAGCTGATTTTAACACACATCCTGTAAACAGCGGAAACAGAGCTTTATTTCATTAAAAAAAAAAAGAAAGGGAAAAAAAGTCATGCCGTCTACTGTATTTAAAACTTCCATGGAGTGAAACTCAAGTACCTGATGCAATATCTGATGCCAAGGTTTCAGAGGGCACACGTAAAGGAGAGAGGCTGAGAAATATATAATTAAAGTCAATTCTTTGTGATGACCTTCAGCACATATTATACAGTGCTTGTCAAAAGTTTGGAAACATTACGATTTTTAAATGTTTTTAATCAAGTCTCTTGTACTCAACAAGGCTCAAAATAAATTACAATTTAAAAAAAAAACATTTCTATTGTAATATATTTTCAAATGTAATTTATCCCTGTGATGTGTGTGTTTAATAGAAATTAATGCTTTTTATTCAGCAAATATGAAAAATGACAGTGAAAACATTTATAATGTTACAAAAGATTCTATTTCAAATTAACGCTGTTCTCTTGAACTTTCTATTTATCAAAGAATCCAGAACAAAAACAAAAAAAAGTTTCCACAAAATATTAAGCTGCAAAAACATTGATAAAAATGTAAACCATTACTAATAACTCAGCATCAATAATAATTAAGCAGCAAATCAGCATATTAGAATGATTTCTGAAAGATCATGTGACACTGAAGACTGCAGTAATGATGCTGGAAATTCACAGAAATAAATTACATCTTACAATATATTCAAATAGAAAATAGTTATTTCAAATTACAATAATATTTCGTAATATTACTGTTTTTACTGTATTTTTAATCAAATAAATGCAGCCTTGATGAGCAGAAGAGACTTCATTAAAAACTTTTAAAAATCATGTTTCCAAACTTTTGACAAGTACTCTCTCATATATATATATATATATATATATATA